CCTAAATCCGTAGCAGAAACCTCACCAGAGAAAACAAGGTGACCACATCAGCTGCCGTGGAAGTCCAGGGATCCCTGTGCTGTTATTTCTTCTCTCAAGGTCACATGTGACTCACTGCTTTGACTGGCAACACTTCCAACACTGGGCACAAGGTCTGCTCAAACCCTCATCCTTTTTTCAGGCCTGTCTCTCTGTTTCTCTCTGCTACTGCTTCCCTTTCACACTCTCTCAATATGGATGTCATGGGCCTTCATCAGATACACCACCACATAATTTTCATTCTCCATTCTTCTGCACTTCATTCTAATCTGCCTCGCGCCTCCATGAGTCCACATTCACTCTGGGTATCTTTGCCACACATTGATAATTTAAGTATCCGGTTGAGGCTTTTTCATCAGTTAGCAAAATAAGGACTTGTCCACTGTGATTTCCAACTGAGAGGCCCAGGCAGTGAGAGATATAAAATATCCTGAAACAAGAACTCTGAGGTGGACCGCAGGAAGGCGGAGAGGAGAATAAGAGAAGGTCAAGAAATCTTTACAAGGCAACATGCTTCTTCTCTGTCTGTACAACAACACAGAATAAAGTGGTGTGGCTTGAGTTTCCTAAAAGCCTTTTGCGCAAAGGTCACAATAGCCCACTGACTTACAGCAAGAACTAAACTGACCTTAATTCAAAAAAATTATAATAAAAGAAATCTGTCGTCTGTTGGATTTCTGAACATCAGTGTTTTATAGCTGCCATGAAAACCAACTTCCACCTCCACTTTCCCTTGTTAGCTTAGTATAATTGAAGATTTTTTTGTTTTGTTTTTGTTGAATTATGTATGTGTGTGTGTGTGTGTTTGTGTGTGTGTATAGAATTACAGATAAAATGATAACAGTCTATTTTAATCATTTCTTGGGGCATTTTATGCATTAGATAGCACCAGTAGATAGATGACTGGAAATGACTCAACTAGTTTTGTCTGCATGCCATTTGTGTGTTATGTGTGAAATACAAATGTAATGCCACTGGGAAGTAGAGAAATGGGATCACATCTGCACATTTGCGCATCATAATTACACAACGAACCACATTTATGATGTTTATAGGCTCCATACAGACTTATAATGCTCCAATCACACATTCAGTAATCAAGATTAATGGCTAATAACATTATGCTAGGGGCAAATTAAAACTTTTAAGTCAAGTCAGTTTAAATGATGTGGCCCAAAACCATATACATTTCTCTTCGAGAGCTCTAAACATTATGCCACACCCTCTATCTTCTATCCCGAACATGGATAGGGAAAACCTCCACACGAACAAAACGTTACCACAACATCAGAGCGAGGATTCCACCTCCAGGGTGAACAGATAAAAAACACTATAATGTTACTTAACATTAACCAAACGATGCAAATGATTAGTGATCAGTCAGGGACGTCGTCCACGACACCAAAAATATTCTCACTTCTATATTTACAATATCTCTGGAATGGCCTAGCCCCTCCCTTTAAATGGCCTCCACCCTGTCACCATTGTAGCTTTCCAACGACGGCTCCAGTGCAATAGTGTCCCTTTCAGGAGATTTATAATTCAACATTGAAAAAGAGACTTAATAAAACTAAAAATCCAACAGTGAATGTCTTCTGTGGTTATTTCTCTTTATTTCTGTTAAAAGTAGTTTTAGTTGTCTTTAGCCATTAGTCGGAGCCTACGGAGAGCAAGATTTATCACTTATTTAGATTTAGCTCTTAGAGATACAGTACATGGTGGTTTCCAACCTTTACTTTTAAGTTGCTATCTACCATAATGCAATCAACCGTATGCAATTTTTATCATTTTAATAACTGACGTTATCACTGCTGTTAATTCCAGGTTCTTTGTGGGCCTGTCAAGAGGATGTTTGGATCCTCTTCTTCTTCTTCTATCTTTTTGTCTCTCAGGTAACCATCAACACAACAACAGTTATCAGTTCCCTTTTCCATTCATTTGTTTATGGAAATGAGTGGGACTCCAATGCATGCGGTACGTGTTAACACACACACACGCAGGAAGTACATGCACACACAAATTGTGGCTACTATGCATTATCATAGATCTGAACAATAATAGGCTATGAGGTCTGATATCTGCCTGTAGTATGCAAACAAGATGGCAAAAGCACTACAAAGAACTAATCTCAACATCTTAGTTTACCAGCTTTATGCCTGATGGACAGATCATAGACAGACCATCATTCATGCCTCAGGGACATCAATACATCAAGACAGTACACACACGCTATGGCTAAGGAGACGACACTCATCCTTAAATACATTTTGACTAGATATTCAAAGTAAATCAAAATGTAGTATCATGTTGACAGGCCAAACCAGCCACGATTTATCAGCAAGTAGCTTTTTTAAAATTTAAATGTGTGTGTGTGCGTGTGTGTGTGTGTGTGTGTGTGTGTGTGTGTAGTATCTGGTTCACCTCGTAACTCCCACGTTTTCCCTGCTCGTACGCTGCAGACCTCACCGCCAACTAACATGTCACGAGGGCTCGTCGTGAGTGCGTGTTAATGTGTAACTTTTACTCGTGTGTGTGTGTGTGTGTGTGTACAAGAGAGGGTGGGCTTCAATGGAGCTTCTGCTCCACCATTGTTGCGGTGTATACCAACCTCGATGCTGAAAGATGTGTGTGCTTTTGCATTTGTGCCTGCGTGTGTGTGTTAAGTCATCGTGTGGTGAGCTGTGACCTCACCACTAAGACTTCCCTCACATGCCTCGGAGACTCGTAGGTGGGCGGCGTGTATTTTCTCTGATTACGTTGAGACCTTGTGCTTCTACGTCAGAGGGCAGTGACATTTCGTCGGGCCTCTGCATGGGAGGCAGACAGCAAGCGGCTAGAAGAATGGAAAAGCAGATTTGTTTTAGGACCTTTGACATCAGAGGTCTTGTATCAGCATCATATGTTGAAATCACAGTGTGGGACTGCCCTTTTGTTACTCTGTGAGTTGTCCAGCACCCATTGTTCATTTTAACCTCAGTGTGGGAGTTTTCTCTTCGGTTGAAAAGTTGTATGGTAGATTACCCTTAAACTTTATTTAAGATGTTAAACAGACATTGGGAGAGGAAGAAGACTAACATTTGAACAAGATTCAAATTTGAAATGTCACTGGCAAATGTCACTGGATTGGCCCATTGGACTTCAGAATTTATAAATATGTGTGTGTGTGTGTGTATTATTTCATATACCCAGAGTGCAAAAACGTTTGTCGCTGTGGACTCTACAGGATGAGAAAAAAACGACTGAAATTCTTGACCTGGGAAGGGGAAAGAAAGACTTAGGGTCCGCTTACTACCTTTTTCAGCAGATGGAGTTTGCTCAGTTGTCATCAGGTGACCTAAGTATTGAACTTCAATCATGTGATTTACTTTCTTATTGTTTTTGTATGTTTATGACCCAGAAAAACTAGAAACATCCCTATGTTCTTCTAATGGGGATCCTTAAATAAATCATGATAACAGGTGGTTATATTATACAGTATATTTACAGTGTATATTTGGGAGAAATTGTAAAGCTATTAAGTGGATCTTGAGTTTAGCTTGTTTTGTTTTTTTTTCTTTCTTCTCTCTCCACTGAAAGCAATTAAAACTTATTTTGTATTTTTTCTATATCTGAAGAATAAAATATGTTTTCCGAACAGTTTATTTTGCCATACACACATTATATTAAAAGTAATTAAATGTATTATAAAGAATGCTACGTTCAAATGGCACAATACAGACTAATAGTCAATTATGCCATTAGATTTGATTAATTTAGTACTCGCAAATATTCACAGGAAGATAGTGTTCAGTATCAGAGCCTCTAATCAAAGTGAATTTCACGACACAGTCCGCTGTACAGCAGCTGTGGCCTCAATGTGAGACCATGGAGCCGACAGGATAAGGGGTGAATGTGTGTAACTGTGTGAGTGTGATCAGGGTGTTCCTGCAACAAAAAAAAACTGAAAAAAACAGCTTGGCTCTCAGCGAAACTTCCCTGTATAAAAGATACAAAAAAACCAACATCATATGGAGTCCATCTGGAGTCCACCCCTCATAGAAAATGATCTTAAATTTTGCAGCATAGTCCTATTTGACCAAATAAACTGTGATGGTTCACAGTTTCAAGAAAGACAGTATTTTGATCTTTGATTCTTGTGGCTCAAGTTTCTTTAACAGCTCTTCTCAGCACATGTACAGTGTTGTCCAGCCTCACTGAGATAACATTTCCAAGTTCCACCAGTGGATGTTCAAACAAGCACAACCCGTCTCACTCTATGATTTTGGCTGGTCCAAATAAACAGCTGTCAATCATTGTATGTACATGCTGTCAAAGCAAAACTCACAACATTTATCCTGGAAAATGTTACGAAAATCACTCTGATTAAAACGACCTTGTTTATACTTTGACACATTGGGTGTGTTGTAGACGGGTTGTTGAATTCTCACTGAACAATTTGCTTTATAGGCATATGGAAATCGTTTCTATAGCTTTGGAGTTTTATATCATCGCTGTATTATTTTAAACATAATTTTTCAGTAGTCGGGAAAATGTCAAGCAGATAAATTATTGGCTTTCTTTCTCTAGAAATAAGGAATACTCACATCCCCACTAGTGAAAGGCACTTTTGTTTTTTATACTGAACTCATAAGTGTGGTTTTTTTGCATTCCTGGGCACTATGTGTCATATTTTGCTGCAGTGCAATGCTCCTCTATCATTCACCATATATGTATTTGGGATATTTTAGGGAATATTTGTAAAAAAGTCGACCCATCTGAATTCACGAATGAACCCACGCCGCATTTTAGACCCCGCTTCGTTTCCTTTGCTGTCGTCTACTACACCATTGATTACTTTGCGTAATCGTAACGCAGCTCGTGAGGATGCAACATTTTATTTTTAGAAGCGACTGGAGAGAGAAACACAAAGACAGACAGGGAGAGGGCTGTACACTGGATAACGAGGTGGGTGGGCACATGCTCTCTCTCTCTCTCTCTCTAGTCTCTCTCTCTCTCTCTCTCTCTCTCTCTGTAGCCTACTGTATAAGTACAGATCTGTGATGGAGACCCCATCACACCGCATTTCACTTTCACGCAGTGAAGATGAGCGCTCGGATAGCGAAATCCAACCCGGCCATGAAACTGATACTGGTGAGTAAACAAGATATTCTGCAGCTCTCCTCCTTGGTCCGCTGAACCGATCTTATCCGCTGGAGCACCGGGGTGCTCCTGACTTGGGGGAATGAGATTCTGGTTTTGCGAGACATGGATTATTATTGCGCTACACGCGGTTTCAGATAAGTGGTAATCAGTTGGGTACGGGCACTCGCCTTAGTCCAGGTTTATTACCCCAATATATTCGCTGATCACGTGGCATGTTCCCTCCTCACAGCATGCGTTCGCGTAGGTAATGTGATGATGTTCAATTTATCACCGGGGGCCAATAAGCACTCACTTCAGTCACGGATGGTGTCCCCTGAGATGCAGTCCGTTTTTTTTCATTTTAGATTTGACATTTTGGTGTCAATTGATCATGATCGGTCTTGTTTACAGTATCACTGGTTTTGAATAGACATGATCCTGTCTAAGTTTAGACAGAGTTATTTTAGTATTCACCCCGTCTTACTTACCTGTTTTAATTGTAGTCGGCATATAGAGTATGTGTGACGCATTTAAATGCTAAATAAGTAAAGCTGCATCCGCTATATTCATACATATTCATGATGTAAGGTAGTAGTAACCTGGCAATATAATGCAGTCCCACGTAGCAGCCCTGCAGTAAAAGCTTGTAGGCTACAGGTAAGGTTTTGTTGAGACTATGTAGATATGTCGATGCTGCTTTTTGGTTACTTCTGAGGCTGTTAGTGGTTGGTTTTGTAGTGAATAATATCATATTGTAAGCTGTTTGTGTATGTGTCCAGCTTCAGTAGCGTATTAGTAATAGTAGTAGTAGTGTATGTATTTATATGAGATCTGTCAAAGATGAATAAGAGTAAATTATTCCAGTTTTGGAAATATAATCAAACTGTACCCTTGTGTTGTCCTGGGGTCATTTTTGACCCCAGGACAACACAAAATGTTCTAAATAAATGAGACATCATATTTTTGGTTTAATATTGAATGACTTTTCCTAATTTAATGGGGACAACTGGGTAAACACAAACTCAACATGTTGATATGTAAAGTTATATGTAAAGCCATTAAAACACCCAAAAAATATCTCTTTCCAATTTTAGGTCAATCAGTGAGATTTGATGGTGATCTGCATATTTCTCCATAGTCCCGTAACAGGGATTCTGGATGTATACGGGTTTGGGTTGTTGGGGGGGGTTGTTTTATTTAAAGGGCTATTTAGGTAGTCAACAAAAAACTAAGTACCTGACACATAAACTTGGGTAGCAATTTTAATTACAATAATGTTCTGCAGGTTCAAATTGCAGGGGTCAAAAATGACCCCAGGATAACAGGTGTTGGTAAATTTGAAGGTAGCATGAGGGTTAAATGTTGCAGAAATGAATGTTGACATGTTTTATATGTCAGGTAATGACTTGGAATAAAGTTGACTAAGGAGTTGAAACACAGAGGTGGGTGATAATTTATACTGTATGCTTTATAAACAGTCAAACCTGACGGGGTCATTTTTGACCCCAGAGGACAACAGGTGTGATTATGTGCTGCCATTAGAAAAATTCAAATGATTCAAGAACAGCATCCTCACTAAACTTTGATATGTACCTCTCTGTGATCAGTCAAATAGTAAAAAATAATATAAAGTCAAAATAATTTATTGTTTCATTGTATTTTCACTCAAAAACAGGGTATACTTTTATGTAAACAAGGTCTATTGGCCCTAAATTCCAAAATGAAGGGAACGATTTGTGGTAATGTGTTGGACTGAAGTAAGACTAAAGGTGTAAAACAGAATTGATTGACAATTTATACTGTATGCTTTAAAAACAGTCAAACCAGGTGGGGTCATTTTTGACCCCAGAGGACAACAGGTGTATGGCAGTCGGGAGGACAACACAAGAGTTAGACTGGAGGTTGTTTGCTTTTGATGATTAAAGGAGCTCGTGTTTCACCCATCTTTTCATTCACTGCTTTCAATACTCACAACCAACAAATGTTTACTTTAGCTCTTATTTCATTGCTTTTTCTATGGCACATTTGAAATGAATGAAACTTAATCCTCTCAGAAGAGGAGCGTGTTGCCAGCAGATGGTGTTGACTGTGAGTTTGACATTACACTCATTTGTTCTACAACGCTTTCAGGGGATTTTAATAGGCCTGCAGGGTAGGAGCAGTTATTTTCTCTGGAGCGTTTTGCATGTGGTGCTGTATTGGGGCTTTCTAGGTTTTGCATATGTGCATGTACAGATGTGTATCTGGGTAGAAACAGGTTGTGCACTGTGGCTACACAACACTGGACCCACAATCTATCCTCATAATGTGTGTTTGTCTGCATGAGAAAGAGGAAGAGATGTTGTGACGTGTAAGCTCAGTCTGTCATTTTGTTTGGAAGAAGTGCCGCTTCTTTGTGTGTAAAGTATAGTGTACAAGGCAGTGAAGTAGAAATGACTGTGTGTGCATGTGACGGGTATACTTTCTGCCACCATTTCATGTGGTGTCCTCCAGTATTCTATCCAGTATTTCTCTGTAACAATTTACCCAAAATAGGCACATGTTTTATTCTCACAATTTCCTGACGTAGTGTTGTTGTGTTTATCCATTATTCAGTTAGTCATGCAGTCAGTCATTTGGACAGCCATGCAAGCATTTATCCAACTAATGAGTCAGACGCCCAGCTGCCACAGTCCCAACTGTCAGCATCCAGCCAATAAGTCAATCTGCACCCCTCTGGATCCCCCGTCCTCCCTTGAGCTATAGCCACTCACTGAGTTCGTAAGTAATTCTGTGTTAAAGGGGCACTCTGCCATTGTGTGTTCAAGATATTGTTTTTGCTTAGGAGCCCAGCGGCCAATGCAACTCCTTCACCTGCTCACGCTTCCTGTTCCCCCGCACGTCTCTGACTCATGTGGCTGCCTTCTGTCTGCTGAAAAAACACACTTTTTGTTTGGGTCCTTGCCCGGGATGATGTCAGTAGAACAGGCATGGAAATTGGATAGAATACTGTCATGCTGTTCCGTCTTTTTGTTTTTGTGCAGACACATGTTTTCAAATGTTAGTGAAGAAGTGAGGTTCAAAGGAACACAATTATGCAGCTGAGGACACCTGTCTGTCCATCCAGCCAATCAGACGGCTAGCTAGCCTGCACGTCAACCATCCATCCGTCCTTGTAGTATAGCCACCAATCCCCATTATCTCCCTCTATGATTATCTATCATCTGTGCTCTCTTTATCTCTACGCATCCTCTCCTTCACTCTCTGTTGTGGCCGTTGGCACTCGCTGCACCAACTTCCCTAAACCTGGCTGCAGGTTCACACACAGACAGGAGAAGCTGCAGAGAGGTCACTTGGCCAAACCGACTCAAATACTGGAGAAAGGGGGAGGAAGTGAGAGTGACAGGGGGGAGGGAGACATACAGAGGGTGTGTAAGCGTACAGGATCAACATGTTTTAAACAAACAAGCACAAACGTTTATTCAGAAAGCAACGATTACCTCTGGAAGGTGCTTCCGCACACCTAACTTCCCCTTTTCCATCAACAGTAGTACTGATAGCAGAAGTAAGTGTGTGCGTGTGTGTGTGTGTGTGTGTGTGTGTGTGTGTGTGTGTGTGTGTGTGTGTGTGGGACTGAGTGAATATCAGATACAAAGAGCAGAAAGAATATGTAAAAGAGATACACCTGTTCGTGTCACAATCACACACTGGAATCCCTCTTTGTTTTATATTAAATCTGGATGAGTTATATTAAAAACAGCGGGACTGATCTGATGCAAATTTCTGTAGTTACAGTTTATTAGATATGTTTGAACATGAGAATAATTTGATTTATTTACTTAATATGCTCCATCCCAAGTAAACATACTTAAGTAAAAGTACAAAAAATATAAAGCAGCAAGATGACGATATATATTAGTACATTATAAGATTGTTAATACTATACTGGATTAATGTGTAAGTAGCATTTTATCTTTGTAGCTGGTTGAGTTGTAGCTTTTTACACAGTTGTAGGAGGTTTAGTCCAGGGACGCCCCCTCCTAGGGGTCACAATATTGATTAGGGAGTTTATGAAACTATAAAATGATCTTCTTTTAGACAAATTTCAATTAATTTGTTGGACTTCCAACCGTCTTCCTTGGTTTTTATTTTCTTAAATATTGCAGAATTTGACCACTTTGGGCCTAAAATCGTCTTTTAAAATAAGCGAGAAGTTTAAAGTAAAAATATCTCTTTGATGGAACTGCTAACAACCCATAGACATCTGAAGTGTGACCAGGCCTCCAAGTAGACAAAGTTTAAGAGGTCACTAGCCCAAAATGTTGGGAATTACTGGTTTAATCTTCAACAGTGCATCATATTTTATCAAATGCATATATTTTATATTTTCTAAATGTTTTTCATATAAAATCTTCATATGTAAAGTAACTGGTAAATATAAAATGCACTGGAGTATAAAGTACAACATTTTCTTCTGAAATGTAGTGGAGTAAAAGTATAAAGCAGCAGAAAATATTAAAATAAATAAATAATATCTTTCGGCCTTCAGCGATCTACATAATGGCTGCAATTAATGGTAATTTGTATTGTTGATTAAACTGCTGATTATTTTCTCAATTAATCAATCAATAGTATAAGAAAGAAAATATAGTTTTTTTATTTTTGTAAATGCCCTTCACAACCAGCAAATATTACATCTGAATATTACATCTGAGAACAGCAGACTGACTGGGTTCTAGTAATTAGCCAAACACTATTAAATTCTTGGCAGAATTGCACATGTTAACTCACATTTTCAAGTCATTTTTATCACAATATTTAGCAGATTCAAAATTAGAAGCAGTTTTTTTTGGGATGCTGGGATGAGTAAGTGAACAAAGACAGAGTCCTCACAGGACCCAACACACACACAAACACACACGCACATGCACGCACACACACACACACACACACACACACACACACACACACACTCATCCCAGAGCTGGAATCCCCCCTCAGACCACCTGCGTTCTACAGTTAACTGAAGCCATGTGCCTGGTGGATAAGCTGGTGTAGTGTGGTTTGGTCCCTTTGTGCCATGGCTCTTCTCCTCATGCCATGAATTTAAAACTGACCTCTGGCTACTCAAACTCTGATTCTCCCCTTGCTTTGCTTTTCAGTGTGCTAGACTTTCATTGTAACTCTAAGCCTGAACCCTATCCGTAAGTTAAATACTGAAGCAAATTTGTTCTGGAAGCATTTGAATATTTCCACCAACAACAAAAGGGAGGACATGTTTTCGGTTTCAAAATGTAATTGGGATTCACTGAATTTGGTTAAGTTGCTGCCTGAAAACAGATGCTCATTTTGCCTCAATGTCTAAACATTTTTATCTTCTTTTTATTTTACCTATCAAAACAAATAAAAATGTATCTCACTCAAACATATTTTTATTATCCATAATGAAGCTGTCTGACGTCTGTTTGCACAGTGTTTACTGTATCTTCAATGTAATGCCTCTGATGAAGAGTATTTTAGCTCCAATTAATCGTAATAATTTGTTTTTTACCATTGTGCGTAAAATGAATAAACCCATTACCCGCCCATTACCTAGATGTTGCTCTTTTTATAAGCTCATATGAAAAGCATGTGTCCTCATTTTAAAGGCTATTTCTGGCAGGTGTCTGAACTCTTTTGATATGTTGCCACAGCCCATCTGTCATGCAGTGCATAAAGTGCAGTTACGCTTGTTTCAACAAAGCACAAGTCATCATTACACTTACATCTATAGCTATAATTTAGACAACAGACAGGTCATAGAGAAACAAAAACCCTTGGAAGTCTTATGAACCCCGTCCAGCCAAAGGACTGGCATTATTTCAGTAACTGTGTCATTGAATGTCAGAGGTATTACATTTCTGCCCATACTGACAGATAAACACTCTGTGAATGACTGTAAATTTCCTCGCTTAACATCATCTCACCACCAATAACATCACACTGGATTATTCACTGTGTCCCTCACTGTTGTGAGAAACGCGGCCCATCTCCTTGAGAAGGGCCTGTGTATCTCCACACTTTACTGACTGGAATACACTTGTGACGTTGTTTGTTTCATTCCAGAGGATAACATCTGCTAAAAAGCACATGTTCTCTGTTAAAGAATTGGTAAAGATCGTCTTTGCTCTGCATAAACATAAGGTTTTCTCTAAACTCACTTCAAATGGGATTTACTGGCATGGATTGCATAAGCAAACTGTATCAGATGAAGCCTGATTCAACCAGTAAATACATATTTCATTCTTAACCATTAAGATCCAGAGGAAGCCGATTTGGTGAGCCTTTTTTTTTTTTTCCAGCAAACAGCTTCAAACACAGCTCTCATCAGTTACAATCATTTGCATAGCAGCTGCCCTGCCTTGCTCAAGGGCATCTTTCTTAGGCAGAACATTACCATTACCTTTATACCTTCATCCATCCTCTCCCCTCAGCTGGCTGTGCTCCATGTAGGATGTGACTCTCGCTGAGCTTCCCTCGGGTGATGTGAACAGTATAATTATGGCTGTCAGTGGCCCCTAACTGCTGTGTAATTTGGGTTTCCAGCAGTCGTCCGTGATGTCATCAGATGGCAGCTTCTAAGGCGACAATGAGGTGAAAAGTTCAATATCTCTTTTAGCTGCTGATAGACTGATTCATGCACACCACAGGACATCTTCCCAATGAGTTCATTCTTAAAGAGTTGACAGGTTTCTTTTCCGCAGTAGCAGAGAGCTACTGTACTGGCTGGTTTTTGAAAAAGTGTGGCTCTCTGCCTGAAGTGTGTCATTACTAGAAAACAGAATAATACATAATACATATGATGTACAATGTGTGAGGGTGCATTAAACCATTGACCTACTATGTGTTTTTGAATCGTTTCCCTATCATCAAGACGTGACATCATAAAGCAATGTCTCTGAGCATGCATGTGCTGTCGTTTTATTTAAACTACTGAACATTATTCTCACTCTACAGTATATTGCAGCTGGAGTCCAGCAAAACTACTGTGCTGTATGAGGGAAATCAAAAACAATACAAGCCTGAGCACTTCCACATGTGCTCAGGCTCTCATGACTAAAGACTGACTGAAGTCAAGTCCTGCCAGTAAACTCATCCTGACTCGAACCTAAGATTAAAGCGGCAAGTGTAACCGTACCTAAATTTGCAAAAACAACAGGTGACCCTCTATCCGTCGCTCGGTGCCCTCCACCCTCCTGATGTTTCTGAATTGATTGGATGTGGTCTCACAGCTTAATGGTGTGTATACTACACACTACTTAATTTGAAGAGCAAGACTATATGATTATGGGTTTGATTGCCACGGGGGCCACCCATGCTACAAACAAACAGATGCAGCCATGGTACTGCTCAGCAAGTCGCTGTGGATGAAAGCCTTCAACCAAATGTTGTGCTCAGTGGTCCATAGGTTTTGCCGGGAAAACTACTGCGCTCGCCAGGCTGTTTGAAGTTTAGGTTTCTATTATGGTGTGTAAAACCCGTTCATCTATTTTTGCTATCTTTTTCAATGACCTCCTTTGCAAAAGGAAACACAAATAGAAGGACCTGCAATTATCTTGTTCATTTTCTGTTTAATGCATCATTTCAGGTTGATAACTCCTTAAAAATTAGAAATATTTGCACAGTGTAATCGAGTATTAAGTGAAAACGCAAATACAGTTACACACATACTGTACATGCAGACGAAAAGAGTATATTTAGCAACACATGACAGATGGGGGAGACACGTCTGTGCTGCACACTGTCTCTTCTACACACACACACACACTCATATACACATGTAGATTTCTGATGAAAAGATTTCTCTTGCCAAATATTTTGTAATATAATCGTGAATGAGAGATGCACACACACATACACACACACACACACACACTGAAAGTATCACTCTTAGTTTTGTGTCACAGACACACACACATCGTATATTAAGTTTTGTGGTTGCAAGTTTTAAGGTAAATGGGATAAATACACACATGCGGGAAGGAGATCAATGGTGTGTGGCGGGTAAACTGTATGAAAGAGTGGGTTAGTGTTTTGTACTCTGGTGGTGAATTGGGAAAGCCCAGTAACCTCCAACAGTACTTTTTATGAACAGCAGCCACGAGGAGACCGCAGAGCACACAGACCAACACTGAGGAAGACGATAATTGAACATCAACACTAACAAACATGCACACACACACACACACACACACATACACACAACACACACATTCTTGCATACAATCTTGCACGCACATGCATGAAGGTTTTGTAGTTGTTTGTTGTATGAATTCATTCATTTTTGAAGAGACACACAAACATGGTGGGAACAGAAAACCCCATACAAGCAAACTCAGTACGGCCTATTGTTAGTTTGTCCAAGCAGTGAGGATGTATCCCAGGCCAACGGGAAAGTCCACAGAGCCAATGGCTGAGGGACTTCAGGGTGTAAGGAACCAGATGTGTGACATCTGGTCTGCATGTGGCCTCGACCAGCTGCATGGCTGCATGTCAAACATGCTCACCAACTGATATCTTGGATTTTAGTCCAACGCTTTTCAGTTCCTGCTCAAGCGATGATACATGGGCTTGTTTTTGAGGCAATAGCCACATATGTCCGTCTCAGAGGCCTCGCTTACAGCCACCCACTTTGCAGTGTGTCCATATGGATGGATGGATTAGGGGGGAAGATATATGGGTGTGGTGTACTCCTGCTCCAGGGCGGTATTAAACTGTTGTAGATCAGCGTTGAACCACGTCAGATGCTTTTCAGCTAGAAAGCAACCCATCTTACAGAGCTGCTGACAGGGGTAGGAGACTGCTTGTGAGGTCAGAGAACACAGGGCTGCACAATTATGGCAATGTAGAATGATCCATTACTGAAACATCTGAATTCATTTATAAGCTTTGGAAAAGCGTTAAGATTATGAGAAACAGTGACAAAAGTCCAATAAAATAAATATAGGATACAATGATGCTTACATCATTTAGCATCGTGATTGAGGGCAGGACAAAGAGGACAATATTGCCTCCTGCAAAGAAATGTTGCTCTTGTGCTCCTGTTCAGTAACCCATATCCATGAAACTAAAGCTGAAAGTTTTAAGTCCTTGACCGGCTCCGTTTAAAGCAGAGGAAATCACTTCAGGACTGTGTGTCCACCAGGAGCTTCAACTTTACAGCTCTGACCTTTCTTTCAACTCCTTCTTACTGGAAGCTTTGGGTTGGCAAGTGCTCCAAAATGTAAACATATTTGAAACTTTAGCCAAAGAGGAGCTGTGCACGAGATGGGTTTCATTAGAGACTTTGTCACTGCTGTTGACTCTAAACTACTACTAAACCATTGTTCTTTCTCTCGCAGCTCTTCACAGCCTCTCTTTCCTGGGCCTTCCAGCAGCAGGCCGTACCGCCAAAGTACCAGTACCGCGACCCTGTGACATCTGACCTCCTGCTGTGTGACCAGTGCCCTCCTGGCACAGCCGTCAAACGACACTGCACCGCCGACTCACCCACAGAGTGCCAGGCCTGTCCTGAGAGGCATTTTGCTGAGAACTGGCACTGGGGGGACACGTGCCAATACTGCACCTCGGTATGTACGAGGCCAAAGGGTTCACCAAAGGTTCTTTTTAGTTTACCTCTTAATACCCAAGTGGCCTTTTTCTTTCTTTAGATTAGACGTCTTCCTCTTCGCCACTCTCGATGAATTACGTAATATGTATTGTTAACATATCTCCCTTGAGGTGTTTTTATATCCCTGTTCTAGTATTTAATTTCTGTCATTTTTCCAGAGACTGCATGTGAAGCAGCAGCACAACACTGTTCATATATGTGCATGTAAAGCAGCATTAATGTAAATGTTGCTCTGGACCTGCAGCAGCACTGTTTCAATGTGTGTGTGTGTGTGTGTGTGTGTGTGGTTTGTTGTGTTCAGGTGTGCAAAGAGAGACAGCTCGTGAAGCAGCAGTGCAACAGCACAGGTGACCAGTTGTGTGAGTGTGCCCCGGGTTTCCACCTAGTGGTGGAGTTCTGCATCACACACAGTACCTGTCCACCAGGCTACGGAGTGACAGCATTAGGTAAGACTAAGAATAACATTATCAATATTATTATGTCGCTCTGCTGGCAGATTGCCTTTGTTTTACAGAAGATTTCTGAGAAAGGAGATCACTTAATTTGTGGATTTTCTGTCCGGTCAGCATGTAAATTAGATTGAAATTGGAGATCCCTGATTAAAAGTAGGTAACTAAAATAAAACCAGAGAAAATTGGGAATATTCAGTCAGCACACATCCTGAGAGGAAGCACTGGCTGAGTTCAATGGATAAAAGTCCTATTGCCTCAATGTGATCACTTACCTGACTAGAGTGTGTGTGTGTGTGTGTGTGTGTGTGTGTGTGTGTGTGTGTGTGTGTTGATTTATGTGTGAATGGGTGTTTGCTGCTATGTGTGTTATACACTGCAGAAGGTATGTGTTTTCAGTATCCCTGTGTATTCTATATTTCCTCGAATCTTCCACTGTCACACTTTATGTCAAATCAGTATAATTCCAGATGTTTTACTGGCATGTCAGGAAGGAACCATCATGCTGCCAAAGCAGAGACACACACCAGTTACAGATCAGCATTTTCACATTAAAATGTCCTCTCCCTTATATCAATGTAAGCACTTCTCTCTCTCTCTTCGTCTTCTTCTGATTCTGTGAATCAGAATCTGTTCCAGATGCAGACGTCTCTTTTATCAGAGACAACTTTTTTCTTTCTATACTGACTTGACTCTTTCTTAGAACTGCTCTTCCTCTATCTCTCTGTCTGACTTTCGCACACGGACACACAGATTTTAACAACTATGTCATGTCCAGTAGTCTTGTTTTTAATTTGATTTGTCTGCGAGTTCCTCCTTATTCCTGTGTCTTTCTAGCAGAGAAGTGTTGTACATGCCAATGGTTGTTCTAATACAGTGTGAATAGTGGTTCTGTGTGATCATGAAACACACATTTATGCATGTCTTGCACTTTCACACCTGGCCTGGTCTGAGTTGGTGGCAGTGTTGCCTGAAACTTCAGTATTTTACAGTTGTAAGTGTTGCAGCACTGATAAATGTCATGTCTTAATTCTGTCCTTACAAATGACGTCTGAACAACTCTCTTTCTAATCACTCTTAACCAAACAACACAGACATTGGCTTGTCACTTGAACTGACGTTATTATACAATTAAATACATTATGGTGATTGATTTAGGAAAATCATTGCCTGAGAGGTAAATTCTGTTTTAATGGACTATGGAAATATAGTTCAGAATATGTTCTGAAGGAAACAGTCCTTATGGAAGTTAAAAAGTCATCCTCAAGTATTTCTAGTGTGGAAAAGGATCACTTCCTATTTTACATAAACTCCATTATTGGCATTTACAGCATTTTGTAATCGTTATTATTTAATTCCATTGGGGTAAAACTTCTGTCACTGTATCACTATGTGACAAATATCCATTATATTCAATGCTGTCATGCTGTCCTCACACCATCAGCTGACATCAGGAAGATTAACATTTACCCTTTTTCATTTGTGTGTAATTTGTTTCCAAAGTACCAGAATGATTTCCAGCAGTACTTCCTCATAACTCTGTATGTACAGAGGCTGTGAGTTTAGTTTGAATTGAATCAAATAGTTTTTGATTTACAGGGTTTTATCTGGCCAATTCATATTTGTTTTTATTGGATCATGTAAGTGCCTTTGACATTTTTGAGTTCTCTTCTCCTGGTTCCTCTTGACCACAATACCTAGTTAAAGTTCATCATACATTGTGGGTTCCATGAGAGACAATACTCAATTGTTTAACAAATCAATACTAATTGATATATCTTTTGGAAAAGCATTCCTCATCTTCAAAAGTCAAATTCCTGTCTGCAGGAGGATCAGACAGTTGTTTAAGATGCACAGCTGTTCATATAATAGGTGTTATAGGTTATTATGTTATATATCTGTCTTTGAAGGAATGGCAATGAATGGACTATCCGTCCAATCATCTCTGAGTGTATAAAAAATGAATTGGTATTTCATGCAAAGTGCTTCATCACTTGTTCCTCTTCATGATGATACATATTTTACAGGATAATTAAAGAGGAAAGGGAGGTTTGTTTTGAAATGAATTAGCATAACCTTTCTCCCTACAATCCTGAAGCTCTGCTCCCTCTTTGAATTTACTCCAGCGTGTTCGGCACAGACTCAAATATATCGTCTAGCATGAAGATTTCTTTGTTTGGGTGACTTACCTCTAATGGATTAACTCTTGCAAGAGTGGAAAAGCATTTATTTTGTTGTACGTTCAGACTGCTGCTGTTTGACTCGCTTTGTGTCACTCAAATAGTCAAATCTATGCACATATATCCTACTATATGAAATGAATATCTCTCTTAAGAATGAGAGACATTTTACTAAGAGCTACCCATGATTCTACAGAGACAAAGATCGTCTCTAAAACTGACAGCAAATATTTGAGTAATGTTTTGTCATATGTTGCATATTAGTCTGGAAACACTGGTTCTCAGCTTTTAACATCAACATCACATTCCCTTTAGAGTCTAATGCTTTTCCACCCACTACAGCACCAGATGCAGTCAAGGATGTCATTATCATGGTGGATATCTGACCTAATAATCCTTGCAGATTCTCTCCTTGGTGCGTCAGCAGTGACTGTGGGCAACTTAAAGAGAGGTTGATGCTGAATATTCCAGTGAACAGAATCTGATATTTCTACTGGAGCCGCAGTACAAACTGGCACAACGCTTCTCATGACTTCATCTTAGACCTGAAACCAGAATCCAGCGGCTGCATAGATGAAACAAAATGTTCCATGGATTCTGGTTATTATCTGACCCACAGTATTATCTGACAGCGCTCTACAGATAAGACAACTTTTTTCTGTGAATTCATTTAGCATGGATGTTCAATCAGACCTGAGAGACTAATGATGCTCTGCAGACGTAAGACAGCATTTCAGGGGATTCCCCTCTCTGAAGCTGAAGGACAGACTAACACTTATCATGTAATGCCTTGGGTTGTGGTTTAGACCTTAAACCACAGGATGTTAGAAACCCGATGGCTCAGACCTTCTTTTATGACTCTTATCTTTCCCCTTGATTTACTGATTTGTCTGTTTCTAGTTGTTATTCATTTCCTCTAACTGAACGCAACATTTTAAGTCTTTCTAACTAATTTATTTATGTTTTGGGGAACTGATTTTATTGGTGTAGGAAAGAAACAACAAATGAATGAATTAAACAGTGATGTTTTCCTTGATATTAAGGCTGCCACGAAGGATTATTTTCATTATAAATTAATCTGGCACTTATTTTCTTCATCGATTATATCTATAAAATAAAAAAAAGATTGAGATGACGTCAATAAATAGCTTGTTTTGAGCACGAAATCTAAAAAAGAATTGAACCTATATTTAACCAGGTGAGGTTTGAAATCTGTTTTTAAGGGTGACCTGCCAAGATGAAAAAAACAAAACAAACTCGGACTAAAAAGAGAAAGTAATAATATAATAAACTAAAAGTAGCCGAAGAACTAGGGCTGAGTATTTACCAATCGAGTTTACAATAATCTTGTAGTTCTCCAGAACTTATTATTATGTTTGCTATATCATAACGAAAAGAAAAGCAGCAAATCCTCACGAGAGGCTGAAAAAACTGAGAGATTGTTCGTAACCTATGGATTCTAGACAATTTAGTTAATTAATCTATGTAGACAGTAGAGCTACAGTAGCACCTCTACTTTACATTTTGCTACATCTTACGATGGTAAAGTGCTAACATGCTATTTCTGCATCGACGGAGGGAATTCTGAGGAAGAAGAAGATGAAAGCATATGAAACCATACAGACAGACGTGCACATTCTCATGCTGTACATGCTTTGTCATCAGTGCTGCAGGAAACATTAGCACTTTGCTGCATAATCAGCGAGCGGTTTCATGTTTTCAACTGTGCCACGGAAGAGGGAAACTACTAATCAAAGGTCAAATCTCATATAAGCAGAGCTCGTCCTCCGCCCACAAGTTTTCACTTCTATGCATTAGAGATAGAAACAAAATGAGGATGTGATTACAACGCTATTCACAGTACATAGACATCATCATATCGTCATGCATGCTGCAGGTCATACAGCAGAAGTTCTTGTGGTCTACTGTAGTGTCTTCATGGCATGGATACAAGTTGTTGAAATATAGTAAAATGTCACTGTAGATGGGTAAAACATATTTAAAATGTGATCAATTGCTGAGTGAGAAAGACATCATTACATCATAAGGGCAACATTTTAAGTGATTAAATAATAAATAGGCTTAGTTATTAAATTATTATCTTTTTCTGATACTATTAATCAGTAATGTTGTTACTTCATCTGTTAAAAACACTCTGCATGCATTATGAAGTCATAGTCAGATGTTTAGACATTTATGTCAGTCACGCTTAAAAATCATCAGCTGACCAATAATGTGTTGCAGATTCATATTTCCCATTCACAAACGAGATATCGTAACTAAGGAGGGGGTGTAGTGAGTAAGCGCGGTGTGAGTCATTCCCGGAGTCACATAGTTTTCTGTCCTCCTGACGCTTTGTCACATGTCGTCGTGGTCATAGTTCTAGGAATCACATCCTCTTGAACTCTTTGGTCAGCTACTGTATGTGCAGATGTGTAAAATTCTGATAATTAAGATGAGAAAAATCTGTAAGGCCGGTTGTTTCTCATAAAATGTGACACTTGAACTGTATTATTTCTGTCACAATCATGTTTTCATTCATAAAATTAACATTTGATCCTGTGTATCTCCTCCAGGTACACCGGTGAGTGACACCGCATGTGAACGTTGTCCCGCTGGTCATTTCTCCGGCGGCGAATCCGCCACCGAGGCATGTCAGCGCCAAAGAAATTGCTCTGATTTGGGCTTGAAGACACTGAGATGGGGCACATCCACTTCGAACAGCCTCTGTGGCACTCCGGACAAGACGGCAACGCTGGAGTGTTCTCAGCAGCACACTTTGTGCCACACTGGTAAGACATACACTCAGCTGTCTGTAGCAATCACTACTAGCAAACCCTACAGGAAGGTTTTAGGACTAATGCAGAGTGGAATCAGGGTACAGATTGTTTGTACAGAGTATTCACCGTGCACACACATACACACACGCACAAACAATGATGTTTTTGAGCTAACCGTAATTCTCAACAACTTAAAATCAGCCAGGGCTGAATTATTTCAGACATGCGGTCATTTTCATTCCAGAAATCGGGGGATTTCCTTGGTCAGGTTCTTTGTCCAGATTCCATTCTTTTCTAAATTCTTGCGTGTCTGAAAACCCGACACAAGAGAGAAAAACCAAAGCGAAGGGTTGAATGGGATGTTTATGCCACTGCTGTCATGTGACCCATGATGGATCAATTACACCGTTACACTGTCACATCCTCAAACTGCAATAACAGAGGAAACTTAGTCAAGCACAGAGAGACTTAAGGCGAGCTGGTAAGTCTTTGTTACTCAGACTTAAACTATGACAGATGTGGACAATTCATTTGAGAGGAGAAGCCTCAAATATGGCAGTGAGACCCCAGAGCCTGAGAAACCACAGTCACTGAAGAACACACATACAGATGCTCAGACCCTGGCTCACTCGTGCATACTGCATACCACACTTGGAAGGAAACACACAAAGCTGTTGCCCCTCAGGGAGGGTGATGCTGTCCTCAAACATTCATTCACAAATTGTCTTCCTGCGGAGTACACAACCACAGATTGTCTCCAGCAGATCCTGGAACAGTTCAGCAGGGTTTTTCTTTTCTTTTCTTTTTTTTTTACAAAGAAATGGGAAATTGAAAGCATTTGGGATTCCCAAAGTCGCTACGTGATTTGGAGAAACCACCAGGACGTCAATGTCAATTATAGAGCGAGCCACACTTAAATGATCCAGACATCAGAGAAACAAGCCTAATATCCTCTTCACATTAAACTCAACCATACCTACGTTGGTTTTACGAAACGCTTTTTTGAAATGTCTTGGTGTCCTTCATGTTCTGCATGGCAGTCATAAAACATATCCACACCAGGATGCTTCATAACGGTATGAAAATTGCAGTTTCACATCGTCAGCTTTGTTAGTTCTGCGAAAACAAAATACGAAAACCCTGCTCTTTGCAAAAAATAATTTGCCTCATAAAGAAGTCCCAGAAATGTACAAGTGAGCACGTAATGACAAAAAGTGTAGGCGTTAGGTGTTTGTGGCTCAGCAGCAAAGCGCAGCAAGTGTCAGTACGCCTCACCTCTCTTCGCTGTGGTTCAACGTGCACCTCTGGTTGCTTTGGTGCAGAGCAACAGAGATGGGCTCAGTTTGTCGGACTGATGTCAATGGTGGTTCAATGTTGTCAACGGAAAGAGAGCAAATCCTTATTTCTGTTGTGGTCAAATTACAAGCCAACAGTCTGAACACACACGCACAAACAAGTATAAAGAAATCCAGATGTATAATAGGCCGATGGGACCAAACTATGTTATCAGAATCACCTGTGCACCACGATTGAAACCTCTGTGAAGAATGCAGTTTGATTGACTTGGTCACCAGTCTAATTGTAAAATGTGCCCACTGCTATGAATTTCTTTATTGAGTTTTTTCATTTATTAATAATAATAATAAAGTCCCCTCTCCACACAATTTATTCCAGATGTGACCCTGTGTGAGGAGGCAGTCTTCCAGTCTCTCTCCCCCCTGCAACTGTCCTCGGTGCCCCTGGAGCGCCTGTTAGAGAGTCTTCCCGGGCAGAGGGTGGACCATAAGAGCCTGGAGAGGCTGAAGAAGACCTGCTCTCCCCAGCAGCAAGTTCTCCAGCTGCTGCGACTGTGGAGGGAGCAGAACAAAGACCAGGACAAGATGTACGCCCTCATACAAGGTACAGGAAAAAGGGCACCTTCTTTTTTTAGCCACTATAATTCAAGTCCTGGATTTGTGTATTAACGGCCACGCCTTGTCCCTTCAGATATGAACCACTGTGAGAGGAAAGTCTCCCGCTGCAACAGCCTAAAAAACCTGACCCTGGCTGACCTCCTGAAGGTGACCAACAGCCTGCCGGGGATCAAAGTTCAGCAGGAGGATGTGCAGGCTGTGGTGTCGACTTGCCTGCCCAGGCAGTACATCCTGCAGCTTCTTCACCTCTGGAAGACAGCAAACCATGACCTGGATCTAGCCAAAGGTCTGTCTCACAGTCTGAGGGTGCTGCGCAGCCAGGGGGCAGCACGCTATCTGGTGAAAGGCCTGAAGAAGATCAGCCGCATCATAGGAACCACCTCCATGCACAAGATGTATGAGAAGATGTTTGTTAGTATGCTTCACGATGAGTTGTGTTTTAAGGCTCATAAGCCATTAAATGAATAGAAATATGTGGCGCCTATAGCGTGAACAGAAACGAATGCATTATCAGATAAATAACACACAAACACACTTAGAAATGTATGTGAAAGAGTAACAGACGTGGGTTACACGATAATGTCAAGGTGTCATCAAATGATATCAAGCTATGCATATAGTGCCTAACTGTAACACAAGGGCAAGACAGGCTTCAAAGATTCTTCTTTGCCTCTCTGATTTTCTGCCAAAACAAGGACGTTTTGATTATATGAGGTAGCATGGGATGCTAATAACTTCACCCTCAGTCCACAGTATCTTTCTGCAGTGATTAAACTAATAAGCCTTAAAGGAAAGAAAGAAAAACTATCACACATCTGTGTACTCCAGGTAGGCCGAAACTAAAACTTAAAAAAGAAGGTTGTCTGGGAACTTTTTGACCGGAGTCTGTGAAAAATGAAAAACTATTTAAGATGTAAATAGAACACTATTTTATGGAAGATAGGCTGGCAGATGTCGTGTTTTTATTATTGTTGCTTTCTCGCTGATTGAGAGGAAGGATTTGGTTTCATAATGAAATAGATGTATTTTCTACAGTTTTCATTTGTTTGTTGGTTTGTTCTGGACTGCTGGCAAGTAAAGCTCATCAGAATTTTTTTTTTAAAATTGTCAGCAGTTTGAATGTACAAAGGAGTGCAATTGTTTTCTATTTAAAAAAATAATTTTACTTTCTGAATATGTAAAGGCTTGTTTTTTATTACTTTATCAGAAATACTGGATTCCAAATGCTGCAAGTTCATGAAGTGATATTTGTTTTATATTTTGTTTTATCACTTTTATATTATTAAATGTATGATCTGTGTTGTATATATGCCTGACTGTTCCTCTCTAAGCTCGTGTAACTTGTGGACACTAATGTCAATTGATCTGATTAAAATCAGTTTGTAAAAACGTGTTTTTTCTTCAGAGATAAGCGACTGGATTTGACCTGTTGGTGCAAGAGTTTTTACAGCTGCTCTTTATTGTTTACATGATGACAGGTGTGTGTACAGGGAGGGGCCCTTACACACCTGCTGCAGTAAAATGAGAGATTTTTGTGTCTGGAAACACTACCACTTTTGTCCACAGGGACCGCCAAAATCACCACAAAATGAAAGCTCCTCATAGCTTTAAGTAAATGTTAAAAAATGTTCCATCCACATTGGTCATGTCCGGTATAATTTTATCCATCGGTGAGGAATGACAGAGCTCAAAAGCCAATTTTATGTCATGGATAGAAGTGCTGGCAAACGTTGCAGGCCTGATTGACTCTGAGTCCTCCTTGGATCATCAACATTGTCTTCTGGCTCTGAAACATCTTCTTGCACAGCACATATTGTCAGCCGGGAGTGTTTCGATGGGAATTTGACCTGAGTTTGACTTACCACACATGCTACACTCATCAGTAACATCTTTACTTCTAACTACCAACCAAACAGTGATGAAGTCGAAGAGTTGGGCTCTTTGTTCCAGATAGGAAAAGCAGTTTTGTAAAACCTTAATGTGAGGTATTGTTTAGGCACCAGTATTGAAATATTTCAAACAATTCTCTACCCATTATAGTGTTGTTTCCAAGGCATTGTTGAGCATTGAAGTTCCTTATTGACCTTTGGGAGCAGATAGAACATAATCATCGAAGATCAAAGGTCCACTTACTACCTTTTCCGAGCATAACACACGTCTTGATCTGAAGGCTAGGAAGTAGATCATTGTATCCCAGTTTGACATACAAAATCTCTTGCATCATAACGGGTGCCAGGACCTTCTCCTGTGCTGCACCTGATTTTAAAACTAATTTCCCCCTCACGTCTGCATCCTGGACTCCATCACAGAATTCAGAACTGCTCTTAAAGGTGCAAAATACGAGTTTTTGATTACGTCCCGTCAGATCTCATCATGGCGACGCCTGAGCAGGTGGCTCACTGCTAACAGCCCTAACAATGCAAACTACAACAAATGTGCTAACAGTGTTCACCTGAGGGGCAACCAGAGGGTTGGTCGGGGCACCGCTGTGAGCTGTGAGCAAGCTGTGAGCTATAGCCAGTGGGGAACACTCACATGCACTACTAAGCACTAAAGCACACACAGGCAGCCGTGTCAACAAAGCAAAGAGAAGCTCTGATTACAACACACGACTTCATTCTCTGCTCAGATCGACATTATCTTTACATGGATAATAGTTGTTTGCTCCAAAATGAATGCCCTGAATGCCGCATATTGCTCCATTTAAACTGAACTTTCATCATTTTCACATCATGGTTGCGTTATATTCTCATATTCTGTGGAAACAGGAGGTGAGAGATAGATACTTGTTTGACTCATCACAGTATTTTGAAATGAATCTCCATTTGCTTGATCTGCACATTGTCATACTGTACTCGTATTTAGTGACTCATTGATTTACCGACTCTAAATCACTGGAGGTGTGAACATGAGTGTGAATGGTTGTCTGTCTCTATTAGTCAGCGTTGCAATAATCTGGCAAGCTGTCCAGGGTGTACCCTGCCTTCGCCCAATGTCAGCTGGGATCGGCTCCAGTCCCCCTGCGACCCTTGTCCTGATCTTTGTTCTGCTCCCTCCACAGTCATGAGGAGTCATGAGCTCTAACATACACTTTTTTTTTTAATATAAATCATTACCTCAAATCATACCAAGATCATGACGCAGTATTTGTGGAAAAATCTTTTCTCACCTAATAGCCTATAGTTCAACCATATATTATAAATTGTGTGAGATTTCACTGAGATGGACCTTAAAATAAAACACATGAAGGGAAATGTGAACAAAATGATCACAGACCTTATACCATGGTGATTATTTCAGGTCTCATATTTATTTTACAAATCTTTTTGGAGGCATTTTCCCTTCACTGGACAGCACTCGGTCGAGCAAGAGAGTAAATATCAGGAGAGAGAGAGCAAGGGGAAGATGTGTGTTGTAATCAGACAGACATTTGGGTGTTAAATTTGATGACCTTTGAATAAATTCCAGCATATGAGAAGTTGGTCATGAAGAACATAGATAACAGTTTCTTCTCACAGACAAGAGAAAACCAGAAACACCTGCATTGGATCTAAGGTCAATCACGAACTGAAAAGCTTTTGTTTAATACTTCCTCAAGCTTTTTAATCACCTCTGTTTAGCTGTCATGTCCAAAATTCAACTTAACTGCACGTGGAAGTAATCCGACCTTTCGAAATTACGACACATTATCCCTACCTCAAACGCCCACACATGGTTCCGTATAGGAACACTATATAAATGGCACTTATTCTTCTGTCAAACCCTCTTCAACAGAAGTGGTGACATGCACATCATCAGCATGGTGAGTATTCTGCGTAACGCAACAAGTTTAAGATGATAAAACCTACAAAGACAGAGACATACATGGTGATTAGTGATGCTTTAGATTATGTTTGATGAAAATAACTATTTTTTTTACAGTTTTATGTAAATTCTCAAACTGTAAATTCACATAGGATAAATACCTTTCTATCTTTCCTAATTGAAATGAGTGACTCGACAAATGTTTGTGGCTTTTTTTATCTTGCTTAAATTGCTTTCTTGATGTAATGTTATCACTCTAATCAGGGACTTGTAGTTGTCATAGTGTATATTTTTCTTACTACTGATGCCAGCACTCTTTATGTCTTTTGACATATAGAGACATAACAGGTCTGAGGAAATACAGGTTGTCGCCACAGAGAAACAAGACATTTCAATCTAATTGTATCTCTGGCAGTTACACTGATTGAAAACAATCCGGCAGACTTATTGCATGTTATAAAGAGTTGTATGGCAAATGCTGCTGCTGTCAACTGTTGTCTTTTAATCTAGGCAGTATAAAATAACAGACATTTTTCCAATTTGCTTTTTTCTTATTCACCTTACATTGTTGCACAGAAAAAGGTGGAAAAAACGAATTGAAATGTAGTTACAGTAACAATGGACAATCCATTCAGTCATAAAGTATGACCCAGATATGTATCAGATTACAACTGATGATGAGGCAATAAGAAACTCATCTGATGTGATCTAATGTGTAATACTATAACCTCATTCTTTGTCTCCAGTATCATTCTAATATCACTGTGATAATCCTGTTTTTTATCATTGTGTTTTGTGTCCTTCACGGAAAAAGGAATAGCGGTAGTTGTAAAGTTATTGCTTGCCAATAAGATGTATAGTAAATGCACTCGTAGTAGTGATAGGCCCGATAAAAGGCAGTATAGTTGTATTCAAACACAGAGGCTGCAGTCGCAGTAGGCTGACTAATCATGTGCCTCTCCTCAGCTTCTCTTGCCCGTGCTGCTCCTGCTCTCTGGTGTGGAATCCATTCCCACCTTTGCGCACCGAGACTCTTTCACCGGGGAAGCCCTCGTCTGTGACAAGTGTTCACCCGGCATGCACATGACCAAGTACTGCACCGCCACCACGCCCACTGTGTGCGCGCCGTGCAGAAGCAACCAATTCACGGAGTTTTGGAACTACCTGCCCAAGTGTCTCTACTGCAGCAACTTATGCACAGAGAACCAGGAGGTGGAGACAGAGTGCACGGCGACCAGCAACCGGGTATGTCGGTGCAAAGACGGCTTCTTTGGCTTCTTTGACTCCTGCATGAGACACAAAGAGTGCGGACCCGGACACGGTGTTCAAACAAAAGGTATGTAACAGAGAAAAGATAGTTTCTTGTTTAACTTTGTCATCGATTTGCTCTATCTGAGAGATATATTAAAATATACCTGCGGGGCATTTTTGCAGTGCATGTGCATCGTGAGGCTGCATCAATGAAAACACTGTCCTTGTGTACATTTCTGAATGTTTAGAAATAACGAAAAAAACGATCCATTAATCAATCAATGTTGTACAGGAGTAGCAGCCCCGAGACAAATTTAAGGTTAAAGTAAAAACTCTGCTGAAACACGCGCGATCTCGTGGGCTCTCCGGAGCCGCAACGGTATATTGTAAAACATTGTAATGACCCCAAATGCATTGTTGTTTTCTTTAGGTACTTCACAAACGAACACTGTTTGTGAAAGGTGTTCCGATGGCTACTTCTCATCGTCTGCGCTGGAATCGTGCGTAAAACACCAGAAATGCGCAAGCGGACAGATTGCCCTTCTCCCCGGCTCAATCAACCAGGATAAAATGTGTGGCTCCTGCGAGGATCTTACAAATAGTAGTGCGTACTTGTACTCTGTACAGTTTATTTTAATCGTCCAGCACTCCGTTATGATAACGTATATGACAGAATTCTTTGGTAGGGCAAATTAAAAAGTTTGCATTTAAAACTCATGCGCTATAACTTTCTTTTTCAGGTGAGACGCTAGGAACATTCTTCTCAGGATTCTTCAGTATGCACAAGATACGTGTTATAAAAATGAAGAGATTTATTGCCAGGTGAGTCTATAGCCGTATAAACCGTCGTTTTACCTCTGTACAACGAATCCCTTCACTTGTAAATTCACTTCATACATAGACGCTGATAAGCCATCATCTCCCTCCAACAGGTACATTCATAAGTCAGAGGAGGGGACTCTCCCCAAACAGAGGGGTCCTCTCATGGATCAGATCAAAGCGTGGCTGGCTCAGGCTCCGGAGGAGGAGCTGAAAGCACTGCCAAAGATGCTGAAGGCTTCACAGCTCTGCTCCTTGGCAGAAAAACTTGAGACAATATTCAAAGAGATTAAGCAGCAGAGTCCAAACTGTACCTTAACACTCTTAGATGTTTAGATAACAGAGTCCATGGTACACACAGCATGGCATTACCAATATACCTCTGTCTCTTATATGCCATTTGTGTCCATTTGATAACAGGTATTTCAACATATTTTTTAAATTGCATGTTAATTAGGAGTGCATGCATTGCCTGAGCCTCCATATACTGTTTATGGTTGCCTCAAAGGTTGACCTATCCCTCATACCGTACCGATGTCATTGTTGCTACTCCTAGCAGCAGTGACATGCAACTAGCAACATTGGGCACCTTTACAGACAATGATGATGGCCAATTTCCCCTGAGCTGTGTTACTTAAATTACCAAAATGTTGGCTACAGTAGAATGTGGATACTTAGTCTTGCTTTAAAAACTTAGGTCAAACTATTTACTTCAGGGTTATAAGGAGTAAGACATTATTAACTGTCGAGTGTAAACTTGAGAGAAACTCCACAAGTAAAATATGCAAATACTGTACTGAACATCACATTGTTGCATTACTCAAATGCTACATTAGCACATCATAGAAACTTGTATTGATATGAAAGTAAGCTATAACTGAACATTTGTTTAATGAAAATGTTGTGAAAATGTATGAAGTTCTGTTAAATTGTGCGATATCAAACTGTAAACGTTTATATGTCACTTGCAGCAGCTAAATAAAGTATACCGTTATGTTGAACTCTGACCTTGACTGTAATTTAACCAAATCACCACAAGGTGTCGCCATCTTCCATCTCTACCTCTTTGTATCATAAATACTAAATAATACATTTTTACAAACCGTATAAGATACAGTGAAGTTAGTTATTGAACTATTGTTCATACATTTATATACCTGTCTACTTTTACATAATTCACAGTCAAAAACGTTTTGTCTTTCTTCAAAACAGACTATTGCACTGTCCCACCCAGTAGACGCACACAGTCTCATCGGTTTGTATGGACCATTGGGCTGTTTTCTCATTAAGAGCATTTTGAAATAGTGGACAAGATATAAAAATGTCCTAAAATATGTGTTTATTTTGAATGTCGAGACATTTCGTTTCATTATTTATTGTGGTTAGTTATGGTATGGCTGTATAGGCTACATACTGTCATATTTATAAAGTTAAAGTGATAACACTAAACTGCGTTGACAAAAGACCATTCTTGAAATATTATTTCAAAGACGGATCATGCCTTTTGTGATACTCAGCGGAAGTGGGCAATTAAAACCAAACTACATTCACAGCTGAACAGTTTATGTAATTTTTAGTTAGCATCATTTGTATTATTATTATTATTAGTAGTAGTATTTTAATAATACAAGACAGGGACAATTCTATAGGCCAACATTCCCAAAATATTCCCACGGGTTTAGAGTGTATTTAAACTCGTAGTCGTGATGTCATCGTGACGTTATTATAGGCTAGTTATAGGAGGGCTGTATTTACCTCCAATCATATGTCTATATTAAGATGTATCCATTGGGAGTGGCCTTGTGTTTGTAATATAGCCTATTTATGAACAGCGTCATCCTCTTCTGCAACACAGGCATGGGACCAGGTTAGGGACCGCTAGAGGTCCCTGGTTCCCAGCTTTGGAACCACTACCTATTGTAGCCTGCTCAATGATATCGGGCTGACACCACCACCACCGCCCCCCCCCCCCCGTGCCACGCCACGCCGCTCCGGCATCGCATCGGTTCCCTGACTGTCGCATCACCGAACGGGGAGGGGCCCCGGTTTCCACTATTGGCTGATGGGCTACTGTATCACCGACAGCTTTACGGTAGGGCCACGGCACGGAGGATGTGTGTGAGCGGTGGTCTTTTCATCTCCCCGAGGCGCAGAATCGGCTGCTTTTCAACAATGATTTTGAGAGGACTTTAGCGGGTGCTTTTTCCTGACTCTTTCTTCGGCATACAACCTGCACACAGATTCACGCAGACACATTGTCCAGACACCGCGAGAGGAGGAGAGGAGCATGTAACCGGCAAAAAAAACACCGGCGGCGGCGGCGGCAGCACCACCTGACACTTCTGTCTGTGTCTGTCTCTCTGTCTCTCTCGCTCCCTGTTTCCTCGTAATCTGAGGCTTCCCGCTGTGTTGACTGAACTCGTTTCGTCGTTTTTGGATATTATCTTCAGCAAAATGAGCGAGGAAGTGTCAGAGGTCCCCAAAGAGCTTCTGGGTAAGCGCAGATCATTTGTAGCCATGTGTCCAGACTGGAACAATTGCTGATACTGCCTCTGTCATATCCCTGACTCACCGTGTGCATGTGCTCCTCAGTGTCTTAGTGTCTTCCATACTTACGCTGGCTGAGACACAATAGTAATGCTATTATCTCCCACAGTGTTGATACTATTCCCCCCCCCCCACACACACACACTGGGCCAGTTTAATTGTAAAATTCTTATTGTGATGATTAGTATATCTCTTTTCAAAATATACAGTGGGATTACTAAAACGCACTTCCAAAGGCTGAACCAGCCCCATCCAGACATTACTTTGTACAGTATATTCCTAACAGCACAACCCTAGCCTGTAAATGCTTCAGCTGCAGTAAAGCTTGAAGCTGTGTATACATGGAGCAGTGCTGTTGTTGAGCAAGGAGCTTGTACTGTTGATGTAAAGTGGACTACAGCCTATATTTGGAAGAAAAGCTAGATAGTTTAGATGTCACCTCACATAACTCATATCTCGGTCCGCTCTCACATATCTAACCTGGAGGTCTGTCCCCTTGGCTTAAGCCTGCCATGTTTCTTTTGCTTTATTTGTACTGAGTGTGGACGTACCTAAGAGTCCTGCAGCCTGTTTGGCTCAAGCTCTGACTTTTCTTTGTTTTTGCAAAGTAGCTCAGTTTTTAACAGAACAGTGCAATGTTGAACAAGCACAAGCTCTCTCCCACTCACACACACACACTAGCCCACAATGCTCTTTTGGCTGCATTTATTTCGGAAGGAGACAAAAATAGCAGAATGTAGATGAGGCTTAAAGGAAAATGCTTGGTCATGTAGTCACTTGGTCAGGCATGCGTTCATTCACAGAACGTTTCAGCCAGTCAGTCAGTTATTCTACTCAGTCATCCGGATCCTCACACAACTATCACACATTTGTTTCTGTGTTATCGGGCCTGTTGTTTGAGCTCTTGCAATATAAGAAGGAGCAGACACTAGAAGACAACGGTGTGTTCCTTTTTCAATTAAAAAATCTGTGTAACACATTTCTTATCATTGGACACTTTGGGATCCAAGCTAGAATTTAAAATGACCAGGCAGTGGGTCAATGCGGTTAATCTGAGTCATCTGATCTCTGTAAAGTATTTTGGATGTGCACATTTTGTCTTTTTTCTAGCTGTGCAGACACCATCCAGGTAATCACGAGGTCCACCTCATTAACAATGCCTCCAGAGTCTTTCATTTACAGTCTGCAGGTTCTCTATCTTCACCCCCTCTCTCAAAGAATTGTCCTGATTCTGTGCTGACTACTTTTCCCAACACGGCACACTTAACGGCAGGAATGTGGTTTGTCATGATGCTACTGCCATGGGGTGTTGACTGGAGGAGTATATAACCAGTCATTGTTTGCTGGTGATTCAGCGTCATACATCTTCACTCTTGGCATTCGGCACGTACGAGGAATCTCAGCATGATGCTGCAGATGGAAACACCACAAACTGAGTTAAAAGAACCAACACGGAGCAGTGAGGTGTTTGTGTGCCAACTAAGAAGACATTTTACTGACATGCACTCAAACACTTCATGGCAGGAGAAACCGACTCACACAAGCAAAGAAATGACTCGTGTTACCAATCAGAGCTCAACAGGCAGCTGAAGCTGTTATCTCAGAGCAGCTAGTGGCGGCATGCTGCGTCAAAACAGAGACTGTGTGTTGGACTGTCAGAACACTGGAGAGTTCTCGGTATGCTAAGGATGCTTGCATGCCGTTCACCTGAGGCGCTGTATGCGTTTGCTACTGCTCGTAAACTGGTTTCTGTGTGTTCAGAGCAAAGCTCAGCTGATACTAGTGAACAGTTTGGTCTTCCTCTCTGGGGTCCAAATTAATTCTTTGGGTTTATAGTCACCTCTATTTGTTAGTTTGACTCATTAAGTCTACGTAAAACCACTCGTGCTTTACATGTTGTTTCTATGATCTTCCAGTAAACACCTCCAAAGTGTTTGCCATGAGCCACTCTCTGGAGTCAAAGATACAAACCACAGATCTCATCTGTGACACAATCAACACACAAGTCTGGATTGTCCGAGGATCAATAAATGGGCGACCGACTTAATGGGCTTGTGGATTGTTTGTTGGAGCCCTTTTTACGAGGCCATAGGTCCCCCGTTTCGCCACCTTCCACACGAGTCCCTCTTGAAATTCATTCAAGCGTGACCAAGTGCACATGCCTTAACTGACAAATTTGAACCACGGGGCAGCTGGCTAGTAAAATATCCACTCCTGTCACAGTTTTAATACATGAGCAGAACAATTGAATTAGTAGCAAAATGATCTACGAGAGTCTGTCGGGGGCTTTTCTTTCTTTTTTTGTCTGGGACCAAACACTGCCCAGTCTCATTAAAACATTCTAGATTTCATTTTCTGTAGAAGAATCTCTGTGGATACTGGTTATAGTTTTGCAGAAATGCTGCAGTAGGAAATGGTGCACATTTTCCATAGCGTCTATTGAGAAAAGGCTGGCAGATGAACCTAATTATTAGTTTCACTTTGATCTGATGATGGTTTGTGGAAGCCTGTAGGCAAAGAGGATGCCAGCCCAGATGTACACACACAGACACACACACACACACACACACAAAACCCATCTCTGTCTCAGACACGTGTGCACAGACTATACCAGCCGCTGTGTGGTGGGTGAGTGACCCAGATCTGCTCTCTAAACCAGTTCCCTGACAGTGGAGGCTTCCACTGGGTGTGAACAATCAAACCAAGCAGCACAACACACACTCGGCATATTTCGCTGTGTGTCGGTATTGATATGTTCATAGATGGTCCAAATATTATTTTGGTCCAATTACTAAGTTTGTTAGGAAATACCTGCAAAAAGACTGACCTCAGCCTCAGTTGCACTTTGTGTTTTGAGCTAATTGGCACATTTGAGTATGCTAAGCTACACACTAAACGCAGATGCAAAACATCATCATGTTAGCATTGTTGTTTTGAACATGTTAGCATGCTAGCATTTAGCTCAAAGCACTCTGTAGAGACTTTTAAATGCTGTCAGATTTCACCAGGTGAAATTGACTTCTTGTAGTGTGGCTCCAGCCATACTTTGTTATATTTGTATTATTTTGCTGTGCTATTCTGTAAACAAAGATAATAAATAAATCTACTACGTGATTGAGAGATCCGTCTGACCCCGTCTCTCAAACTTGCTGGACATCGGAGAGCCCTAATATTTTGAAACCATTGTTCAATCTGATCAAATCGAAGACGGCGGGTCAATTTGAAGATAAAGTATGTATGTGAGGAGATGCACACAGTTTGTTCAGTTCACTAGATTGTGTGCGTGTGTATTTGATGTCAGAATTACTGGTGGCTGTTTCACGTCTCACCACAGATGTGATGACATCTGACACAAAGGAATCGGTCTTCAGAAGAGGGATTCATGATGCGCAAATTAAATGAAAACTATAAGAAAGATCATTCCTCTGGTGGTGTGTCAAAATTGGACTCGATACATTTTTCATGGATGTACTTTTCTAATCAGTGGATATAGAGAATTATCCCCTGTGGCAGCAATACACGGATCTGTGCTCTGCCGTAGACGTCAAAATGTTGAAATTCGGACTCAACTCGAGTTCATCATTCAGATTGGGTCTGTGTTCAGACTTCGTGGAAAGAGCCTACAAAGTAACGAGATTGCAATGCATGATTAACCACTTGGCAGCGATTCTCTTCTTCCAATTCAAAGCACACCAGTGCAAAACTTTCCAAGTGTCGAGACTGAATCTCACCTTATTTGTATCTCCTCTCTCATTTCCTCTGTGTAGAGAGTGTGAGGGATGCAGTGGGGAGGAAGGTGAAGCTGTCACTGAGGAGGAGAGTCAAACTGGAGATCAAAGGAGACAAGACGGAGAACAGAGTCTTGGTGAGTCAACTCCTTCTGCTTTCATGCTACTTCTTCATTAAGGGGAGTTAAATCTGTGCCTGTCTTCTTCTTCTCCCACGTATGTCTGCTCTTAAAATGTACAGATTTCATCTCAGAACATCAAAAGCTCTCCGTTTTCATCTCTCTCTCTCTTCAGCACTTGAAAGACATTTGTCTTTTCAACCACTTAATCACTTCACTGCATCGTCACTTATTTTCAAGTTCAGTTTCACTTCGATTTTGGGGTAATTTTGTGCATATCAAAGTTGGAGAGATTGTGGGGAAACAATGCTGACATCACCCTGAAGGTCCTGTTTGGTTTGAGGACTGGTCATCGTGCTGTAATGGGAGAATTCAAAAACAGTTCGCCAAAAAGCAGTAATATCTTTCAAGCCCGCTGGTCACATTCACTTCAAGTGGAACCAGCGTCATTAGATGCAGAGAGGTTTCTTCCAACACAGAAGGGTTTGTAACTGATTGCCAGTATGCTTCCCAGTATCTGGGTTGTGGGATTTTTCTCTGTGGGCTTTATGTGTGCCAAAGTTTAAGAGTCCTTTGCAAATTGAACAAGAAAGTGTTGCACGAGATCTGAATAACTAATGATCTATCGCAGTTTGATGAATCACACTCAAATGTGGAAAAGATTCATGGATTCAGTAAGTTAAACAAGGCAACACCTTTAGCCACACATTTCTTTTCACTATATTGTTTTACATTCTGCAAATTAGCAACATTAGAAGTGTGGCCAATAAGCAAGCTGTTCTTGTTTGCAGTGTACGCATTGGTGTGCAGACAACTGTGACTGGATTAGATTGATACTCAAGAAAACTTGAAAATGTGGTGTGTCCCAGGCAAGTCCTGGAGTCATAAAGTGCGTCTTTTTTCTGTTATGTCTTTATGGATTATATTGTTTTTTTTCCAACCGACATCAGAGGTAATGATATCCTTGGAAAGTGTTAGCCACTGCTGCTGCTACGGCTGATTGTGTTCAACAGTGGGCCAAACTACAATAACTAACTTCCTGTTTTCTTTCAGAACTGTTTCTTTTACTTCACACTGTATCCGTCTGAAGTCTCTCCCTGCACGCCTCCCCTTAAAGACTCTCTTTATCCTTCATGAAAAGTCATGCTAAAACAATAAAAGCAGCAGCTAAAGTTAAACACACTGGCCCAACACTGAGGTAACTCATTCATCCAGTCCCACCTCTGATTATGTGTCCATATTGGCCCGGACTATGTGTCTACTGGGCAGATGGAAATAGCAGCTCGGGCCATTAACTGCTCGCTACGGACCAGTTCATACACTGAATGCTAAATAATTAATACCTGGTAGATGATTAAAAATCCATATTGGCTCTTTCTGGGCTTGAAGCGGATTAAAAGCGGAAGACGGTTCAGACGGAAAAGTTCCCTCAGCGAATCAGTATCCGACCAGGGTCCATAAAGTTTGATGGTTCAATCAGAAAGCTTTCCTTTGCTGTGAATGAACCCGCACAACGTTTAATATGTGCGGCTCTGGGTGGAAACGGCAGGAGCCTTTTAGCTACACAACTCTCAGTGGAATGAGAAGCTTCTACTCATACAGCTCTGTGTGGAAAAGACAAAGAAACGAGGTTGAAGAGAAACTTTTTAAAGCGCTGTGAACAGGCCTGCACAGCCAGGTTGTCTGCTTTAGGAATTAAATGTGTCATCAAGGGACATTAGCAGCGAGAGAGAGAGAGGTGAGAGACAGAAATGATGAACTTCACGTTCACATCTCTTGTACTCACTAAATGATCTGGGAGCACGCTGAGGTGGGAAGCAGCAGGCGAGAGCGAGTTCCTATGCAAGAACATTGTCAGTTCATGTAAGTTAATCATTAACTGGAGACACATCATTAATGCTGGAATCTGGAGCCATCAGAGTGATAGCAGCACATGAGAGATTCATGTAAAGCTCTGTGTGAGGATTATTTCATCATGAAATATCAACTTCACCATGTTCTAATTTACATTCTAGTATATAGGACTGTGACAAAATTCCACTATTTTTCATGACTTATTCTTAATGTCACCTCTGTTTAAGACATCGGGGAAAACGCGGCAAAACAACCTATATCAGTGGAAGCAGCATGAGCCTCCTAAAGCTTTCTGAATAAACTTGAGTTTTACACAAATCTTTTCAAACGTTTGTTTCAAAATCTAATCTAAAGTCAACAGAAAGTAGCCCCCAGGATTAGCTATTGTAGCGAACTGCATCGGGATGCACCTCTAGGCAACTTGTCGGTATGTATGCCTTGTCTGTATACCTATCACGAGAACGACCACAGTTACGCAAATAAGTTAAGCTTCCCTTTAAATAAGGACTCTGAGAGTTGCTCATACTGATTTGTGGTGTTCTTGATCATACACTAATGCTTAAGAAATGCACAAGAATTTATGCCGTTTGTTGAAGAATGTTTTTTGTAACTTTTCAGCTTGTGTTTCTGGCCATCTGCTAACACGAGACAACACAACAAAACTGCATATTCTTTATAATCTAGTCCAGTCAAGTGCTTGGTTTGGGGCTAACTCTCTTGACGTGGTTATGACTACAATGTCATCATGTGGGAGTTGGAAACAGAGGCTATAGTGGTACACACACACACACACACACACACTCACACAGACACAAAACAATGCAAAGGAGTGGGAGTCAGTACTGAGAAGTGAGGAATTCCAGTGGAGTGGTTCTGGTATTTCATCCAGACGCAGAGCATGAGAATGACTCGGAGAGTTTGTATCAACGCACTGCTTGACCGGACTGAACAAATAAGCCAGTGTTTGTTGGTCTGCATAAAAACACAGTTTGAGAGGCCAATTATACAGGAAGTGGCTCCGAGTGAAAACAAACATGTGATCGACTTTTAGCCTGTGAGTGTTATCGTATCTAATGTTAGACATGATCATGAAAGAACAATATATTTACAGATTCATTTGGGATCAGATGTTGTAATGTTGGCTGTTAAAGTGAAACACAGTCTCAAGTGTTTATAAGAAGTGTACAAGCATGACGCAGCAGAATTTGGCGTTTCTTAAGACCACTTTACTCGTCACATGGGTCACTCCTCAGCCTGTGAAAACCGTATAATCGTGTCTCTCACCATTCCATCAACTTCATGGAAGTGCATTTCTAAAGCACAGGAGTACTCCTTTAAGACTTTAGATTTATTTTCTAACTCGATAACTTCAGAAATGCAGTTTCAGCTTTATTTTATCTTACTCTATTTTCTATTGTGATCACAGATGTAATACAATCAGAGAAATAATAATTAAGTAACACTACCGCAAAAACCTATTTAGTTGTTTTTTTGGATTATTTAGTAGTGACAGTGCTCATTAATTAACACAAATGTAAATGTGCACAAATGTAAAAGTTTTTGTTAATCCGTAGTCACTGAACGGATCATACTGATAGCACCGCTGTCTATTGGAGAGTAATCATGTAATCTGTGTGACTAATAGAGAAAAAAAAGTGACTAATTTCATTGACTAATTCTGCTACTGCCTGCTTCCTGTGGCTGAGAGTGGAACACACTATCGTTGTGACATTTAATCTGTTAACCTCAGACAATATTACTGTATTAACACGACAGAGTTGTCTGTTTAAACCACTTTGACATGATGTTAAACTCCATGTAATGCATTTTAGAGATTTTAAATCTAGCTGCCTGATACATAAATTGTACCCATTGTGATTTACAGCCTGGATTTGATGTTTTTAATTGACGTTTATTGAACTTCCTTTGTCAGTTTACTGCAGCCGCATACAGTAGAGAGTTTGATTTGCTTCAGACAATGCAGGGCATCTATTTACAGTATACACTACACCCATAATGAAGGGAGGAATATGGTTATTTTCTCTTTCAATTTGTCAAGTACACACAAGGCTCTCCCCCTTTTCCCGCGGAGCTTTGCTCAGACTGGGAGTGGAGCACTACAGTGCCCAAGGCGTCTCTTAAGCACACTAAAGCTTGATAGATACAGTCATCTCCCTCCTTTGAAGACGGAGGGATGAAGGAGGTACAGATAATAACATCAGTCCATCAAACACACCCCGGGGAAGTGACGAGGGGAGAGGAGGGAGGATGGGAGACGGAGGGAGAGGAAAATGGGCAATGAGACGTACTGCAAAGGGCAGAGGGGATGCAGGGAGAACGAACAGAATCGTAAAGCTGTGTACTGTAAAACTCTTTGCAGTGTGACAGACAGAAATCATCAGTGACAGAGTGTAAAGCCGGAAGAAATAGAGACAACTCAGCAGAAATCATGTCATTTAAAAGATTTGAACACAACGTAGTTAATTAGAGTTCATACAGAGGTATAGGATTTCTAATGGCGTTGCTATATAAAAAATCATTCAGTATAAACAAATATTCTGAAATGAGAACAGCTTGACTCCAAACATTTGGTCAGACCTAGAGATCATAATGCTTTGTGTTGTCCTGCTATCACTCACGTAGCAGTGTTACTCATTCACAGATCCCTGGCTCCCATTTAAAACTACAACACTGGAGGGTTGGTGTGGTGTCAAAACCTCCTCTTGATCTCCTGCTGTGAATAAAGGAAAGTGTGTGTGTGTGTGTGTGTGTGCGCGTGTGCGCCCTAGCCAGAGACTGTCACCAATAGTTAACTGCTTTATTGCATCTCATTGTTTGCTTTGTATGTGGGAGTGGCACTAACACAGCACAAACCTGCTACGCATCAGCACAATTAGATCTGGAGTAGCTCTGATTTTAATCGTATTTTTACTTTACTTCGGAGACGATGGAGAGCGGGTAGAGCCGATGTTGGAAACCAG